GTCTGATTCAATATTAAGGAATTATTTTTAAAAAATTGTCAGATTATTATGAAATTTGGTATCTACAGGTTTTCTAAGTTGCTGACAAGTAACACTAGGGAAGTGCCATACGCCGATTTTAAGAAACTTGGCAGTTTTGCAGTTTTTTGAAAACATTTTGACACGTATGTTTTGTTTTTCCCCAAAAGCTGATTTATGGGGGGGAACTACCCCTTGAATTTTTGTTTGGTAGAGGGACATTATTTTACGAAATTTTTTTAAAATTAATGTGCAATAGTGTATCTTGGAATTTTTGGGTCGCTGATTACGTATCTGATGTCAGTTTTCAAAAATTGATAATGGCGTATCTAATATGGCTGATAGAAGTCCATGTTGGATATGCCATTTTGAATTTTTGAAAAATTATAATATTTACGTAAAAAAATTCAAGGTGTAGTTCCCCCCCATAAATCAGCTTTTGGGGAAAAACAAAACATACGTGTCAAATTGTTTTCAAAAAACTACAAAACTGCCAAGTTTCTTAAAATCGGCGTATGGCACTTCCCTAGTGTTACTTGTCAGCAACTTAGAAAACCTGTAGATACCAAATTTCATAATAATCTGACAATTTTTTAAAAATAATTCCTTAATATTGAATCAGACATATCGAATTTCGGAAATCTGACATCAGATTCGTAATCAGCGACCCAAAAAACCCCTAGATACCAAGTTGAAGTTAATACATCAATTTTTAAAAAAATCGCCTACTTCTCAAAATCCGACATGTTTTTTGAGGTTAGAAAAAAATCCTGACGTGATGGAGCAAAACGGACTTCGGATTCGTGTTCAGCGCGTCAAAATACATAGGGTTAGGGTATTCCTGTCAAAAGTACATGACACTTTTTTTTGTGGGGCTGTGTTATTCATTAAAAATAATATTTGTTATTAAAATATTGTAAACATTCTTCTCAATTATTCTCAAACATCAAATGTAACACACACACATACATATATAAATTTTTCTAATCTTAAATATTCAATTATTAATTCAAATTTATTTAACAATTATTAATAATTTTATTTTATATTTATTTTAATTCTGAAATCAATGGTTATTTCGCAAATGAATTGAAATTATTGAACTTCATGTTGCGAAATAACACGGACAAAAATATGATCAAGTTTGCCAATTGTGGGATTTACAATGTATAAAAGTTTCCACATTAGTTTGTAAAATTAGGAAATATAAGAAATCATAAAAGTAATTTAGGTGGTTGAACCGATCACGCCACTAGTAAAATGCAAGTTAGCTAAAACTTGCATGGAAACAACGAGGTGTTGATTGCAAAATCAACCCTCCCACTACTTAAAATTACATACCAACAGGGTGTGATCGTTGCCACCGAATTATTGTTCGAGGAGTCTTAATTTGTTTTTCCCGCAGAGCGGATGTGTTTCCCGCAAAGAGGCGGATGAATATAAAGTTTAACTCCCACTAAGAGTAGTAGAGAGTATCATTTGTTCCCCGCAGTAAGTGTTGAAATTCGTCGAGTTTGTTTATAAAAATACATGTGAATTTTCCACAATCTGTGAAATTGATTATCATATAAAAGTTCATAAAAAAAGGGAATTGAATCATTCAGTATAAAGTGTCATAAATGGTTAAAGTGTAGATTCAGCTAAAAATCTTAAGTCTTTTATTAAATTCACAATTGTTTATATTTCAAATTATCTTTAGAGAAAATTCAGACTTAATGAACCCAATACTCTGAATTTTAAAACGGATTTTTGAAATATTGAAATAATTCATCATAAAATAATCGTTGCAAATTTATTGGAAATAAAAAGATATAAATAATTAAAAGGAAGTAAAAGCAACTTCCGCATGATTGAAGTCGTATGACAAATACGAGTGTTGAACTCCACCGAGCTCAAAAGTAATTTGATACTTTTCTGTATCATTTTAATTATTATTATTCTGGTGAGTTACTCTGAATATTTATTCTCTATTTCGAAAATAAAGAATCTCATAAAGAAACATTCACATCACACACACACATTTTCTTTTTACACATACAATTTATTATTTGTTGTCTCAATTTTATGAAGAACCAACTATTTTCGTTTTATTATTGAATATTTCCTTCATTTGATCATTTTGCTTTTTTTTGATTGAAATAAACCATTCTTTGTGAGACATGAATTTGTTCAAGTAGCTTAACGTAAATGGCTTTTTTAATTGTAAACAATTTTTTTTATCAAAGATCAATTTGGGAACTAGATGTACACTGTTTGGGGTTGAGTGAATAAATGTAATCTTGTTTTGTGTTAATTCAAGTTTTGATTTATTTAATCACCTTTTGATGTTTTTGTCTCATTTCTCTTTTTAATCATTTTCACTAAAATACCGTCTACCCGGGTGTATTGAATAAATAATATTCTAAGTGACAGTCCACTACCTCAATCTATCTTTGTTAGCGAAGAGCAATTTACGCTTTCCAAATAACCGGAATTGTTAAATAATAAAAATTAGTATTCTTTCTAAATATTTATTATTTCTCGTTAAATTATCTATTTTTATTTTTTTGTTAATTAACATCCGTCTTTAACACCTCTCTTTGGGGGAGTATCCAACCTATAAATGATATTAGAAAATAAATGTAAAAATATTAGAATGCCGCACAGAAAAGCTTTATCTTAAAAAATTTTGTCTTAAGGACGTTTATCCACGGAAATGCAGACCTTCAAAAAAAATTAATTAACATTTAAATAATTAAAATAACATTATTAATTGTACTTTCTGGAAGAAGAAATATCAATTTTCAAAAAAAATGTAACACTTAAAAAATTTACTTGTTTATACATTTTGCACAGGATAAAAATTTTCTGTCACATCACTTCTACAGAATTTTTTAAAAATGATTGAATTTCTATGTAATATAGCTTATTTTTTTTAGAAAATGATTCTCTACAACTTCACCATGGGGATTTTTAAACAAGCAAGCCGTTTGAAAAATATGACTATTTGTTTAAAATAAAAATTTAGATTTTTTTAAACAAATAGTCATATTTTATAAACGGCTTGCTTGTTTGGAAATCCCCAAGGTGAAGTTCTAGAGAATCATTTTCTAAAGAAAATAAGCCATATTACATTGAAATCCAATCATTTTTAAAAAATTCTGTAGAAGCGATGTGACTGAAAATTTTTATCCTGTGCAAATTGTATAAACAATTAAGTTTTTTAAGTCTTAAATTTTTTTCTTGAAAATTGATATTTCTTCTCTCAGAAAGTACACTTAATAATATTAATTTGATTATTTAAATGTTAATTAATTATTTTTTTCTGGACGTCTGCATTTCCGTGGATAATCGTCCTTAAATAATCGACAATTAGTGCACTTACACTATTAGTTTTTTAAGGGAGGGATCCTACTTTAGGAAGTCTGAATAGAGCGCTTTTTTGATAATTTTTTTAAAAAGGAAAAAAGAACTTAGACCTCATGGTTTTTTGGAATGTTTTTGTACATATTTGAAGTATTTGTAAACAAAATTTTGACAAAAAATATTTAACAGTAGACAAGTTAAAATTAATTGATGACGTTTGTGCACATCTTGACTTTAAAAATGGTGGGAACTGCAATGATTGTTTAAATCATAAAATCATTGAAAATTTTTAAAGTTTACATATGTAATTTCCATGTGAACTAAAAACAATCCAAAGAAATAGTGAAATTTGAATATTTTGTGAGACAGAAACAAAAAAATACTTTTTTTGAAAAAAAATAATGACTTTAAGCGGTATCGAAATTCAATTTTTTTATCAAATGGGAATTAAATTAAAATGTGAAATATGTACATGTAATACATGTATTTATTCAAGTTTTTCACATAGATTTGCATTCATTTTAATAAAAGCATCATCTATTCTTTCCCCTAAAGTTTTACGTGGAAAAATTTTAAAATTTCCTGGTAATCCAAGTAACACTAGGTCTTTAAAAGATAATTTTTCTCTTCTCTTACATAATCCATATTTTTTTTATCCAATATTTTTTTTGAGTAACTAGCATTGAATCGGAAGTCCAGTTTTCCAAAAGAGTTTGCTTCTTATTTGACTGTGATGAAGAATCTGAGAATTGTTCTTCGAATTTTCTCTTTTTGTTCTTTCGCTGTAGCTGCTTCTAATTCTTTAACGCATCCATGTTTAACCTATTCAAGTATTTATTTATAAAAATTCTAAAAATATTATCATTATTGGAAAATTAGTTTTTATAATCATGGATTTTGTTTGCCATTTTAAGAATTAATTTACAAATCAATTAATAAGGTACAATTTCGACACAGGGTTGCTAAAAATTATTTTTATAAACTCTTAAATAAAAGTCTATATAAAACTTATGAATACAAATAAATTAATTAATTAAAATTTTATTTTAAAAAATCTTGTACACTGTTTAAATTATGCAGGTATATCCCCTATATTGCAACAGTAAACCAAACGAATACGATGGAACACGAGCACATGAAAAACAGAATGTAAACACTCGGTACAATGCGCAGCATGCGAGCGCATAGACCATGTTCTTTTGCTTTCACTTTGCGCGCTTTTTTTGAAATACGAAATTATTAAGTTTTTAAAACAATAAAAAAGTGCAAAGAAAGTAACGAAATAACTTAAAATTAAAAGTTACTATTAAAATAGTAACTAAGTTACGTTACAAGTTACTTTTAAAAAAAGTAACTTAGTTACGTTATAAGTTTCAAGTAAAGTATCTTTTTCAGTAACTTAGTTACTAATAACTAGTTACTACCCAACACTGTCTGGTACATATTCTAAGATGTATTATTTAAAGAATCACACAAAAAAATCTTTTTGATTTTTTTGACAGTGTAAAGTAGGATCCCCCCTTAAAGACTTTGTTCGAAATGAAAATGTGTGGAATATTAATTATTTCTTGTTATAAAATATTACGTAATTTAAAAAATTGTTGCTATTAACTAATTTCGTAAAAAATTTGTTACAGGTTCATCAGTTTTTAACTAGATTTGCGACAGTTCCTGATATTCTTGAATTGGATCATTTAACTGTATCTGGTGATGTAACATTTGGCAAAGGCGTTTCTTTAAGAGGAACTGTAATCATTATAGCGAATCATGGGGATCGTATTGATCTTCCATCTGGTACTATATTAGAAAACAAAATTGTTTCTGGCAATCTTCGTATTTTAGATCATTAAATTTCAATGGGTATTCTTTAAGTACTAAGGATAAAAATAAAGATCCTTCAAAGTAAATATAATAAATTGTACCAATAATTACCAAAATCATGTAAAATATAACTTCAAGTTCCTGATTTGAAATAAGGTCAAAATATTCCATTCTTAAGTAAATTGTTTATGAGCATACGGAGCAGCATGAATTCGTCGGTTTATTCTAGTCCATCATATAATTACATGCAAAGAGTTTCTCAAATCAAAATATAATTTAAAGTTAAACTAAACTGGTTTTCTTGGCTATAATAACATGTTCAGGTGCAATAACTGCCTCTACACACGATGTAAAATATGTTAATTTGTTTGATATATTATATAAAGAGACAATTATCAATTTAAGTGTATATTATTTATTAATCACAATTGGATCACAATGGATGAAGTACTGTAATACCAAAATTTTTTTCGTATTCGAATTCATTATATTTATTTTTGTTTTTCTACCTCAGGAATAGAAAAATCGCATTTTTAAAAAATTTCGTTCCGTGCGTGTATATATATATATACACAAAGGGGGCTTCGCCCCCTGCACGCTTCGCGCGCCAACCCCTATTTAAATTTACTAAAAATATTAAATATAATTTTAAATAAATTTATAGGGGAGAGGGCCCCAGGATGGACATTTGATATAAAATTTTCGTATAAGTATATATCGCCTCGTGATTTTGTTTACTGTAAAATTATCTATATTTTTGATTTCGAATAAGTGCATAGCGTACACTGTAAAAAATTTTTCGGAAATTTTTCCGAATAAAAATTGGGAAAAATCTCCGACATATTCCGGAAATTTTTCCTACTATTGAGTAGGAATTTTTTCCGAACTTGTTCGAAATTCTACAATTTACTTAAAAATTAAAGTAATAAATTCATAAAATATAATATTTTGCAATAACATGGTGTAAGAAGCACCAATTAAATAAAAAAAAATATTTTTATGATAATTTTGCAATTATATCTTCAGATCTAGAGGAACCGATTTGGTTAGGACTTGAACTCTCGAATCTTATAGTTTGTGTGTGTATCTGTGTATACAGCCTACAACCATTGGGAACTGCCGCGTTAACGCGCTCGACCAAGGGAGGCTATAAAAAAATTTTGTGTTTGTACACTGAAAAACTCTAAGGCGTAGGGAGTTTCTAATAGTGCAAGTGACCTTAAAGAATTTATTGTTTTATTTTAAATAATTGTCGAGCAAATTTTTTTAAATATAAACATATAATTTCCTAAATTGATAGTATATTTATAAATATTTATAACGGTCGGAAAAAATGTAAAATTATATACATTTATATGAACCATTATTTATAAATTAAATTTATTAACAAATACTATTTTAATTAATTAATTTATTTATAACTGCATATGATTACAATTAAATTATAAAATCTAAGTAAATTTAATTTTATTTCAAAAACATAATATTTTCCCTATTTAATAATATAGCAATTTCCATTTTTTAAATAAAAAAATTACTTATCCTCCCAATTTCGGAAATATTTCGTACTAATATTGGTAGAGTATCCATTGTTTGTGGAAATTTTTCCGAAGTTTCAGGAATAAATTCCAATTTTCATTGGAAATACTATTTTTCCTCACATTTTCGGAAATATTTCCTAGTAATAGTGGTAAAATATCTATTATTTTCGGAAATTTTTCCGATATTTGAGGAATAATTTCCGCTTTTTGCGGAAAAACTATTTTTCCTGATCTTTTTGGAAATATTTCCTTTTAAATATTCGGAAAAAATGTTTTTCCTCCTGATTTCGGAAAAATTTCCTCTTATTTTATCGGAAATAATTCCCAAATTTTTTACAGTGTAATAACCTAATTTATTTATCGTATAATAGTATTCTAAAATGATTCGGTTGACACTGTGTTTGTAAATAATTTTTATTTGCGCCAAAAAAATGGGGTCATTGGTCCTAAGATGGACATCACACCTTAATTTCTAAATTTTATTTATTTTCAATGTTACAGTTTCTTAATAATGCTCTAAGCCTCATAATTGAAATTTTTTCTTTTTCTACTTCGAAATTGTGTTGTTATCAATAGAGAATTGAAATCTGTCATAGAGAAGTGCACTTAAAGTGCGCCAAAATCTGCGGACCCTGGTTCGAATGTCCGAATTGTGACTCAGACAATTCAGCTTAGAGCTGGATTTATTGTTAATTTCTTTTAATTAATTATAAAATAACTAATCTCTTATTAAATAAATTATAAATTAAATAAATTGTATTGGATAAATTAAATAAATTAATTTAATTAAATTATTCTCGTTAAAATTAATTTTCTTACAATATGATTTAATTTTAAACATTTAAAAAATGTTAGAACTTTTAGACAATATAATAAAGAAACGGAAAATTGGTTTAAAAATCCTTACTTGATATTTTATTTTTATTTTACCCGTTTTTTAATGCATTTTATGAAGGTGTCCATCTTAGGGCCACTGTTTTCAAATTGAAATAAATGATTAATTTTAGTCAAATTCTTTAAAAAAAAGTTTATTATTTTATTTTAAAAAATTTGTTTCTAAGATGCACCACGGATGACGTCTTTCTAACCTATGTCCCTAATTTTGAGGTTCTGTCAGTTTATTTTTCTATGACATCGACCAAATTTTGAGGTTATTTTCGTCTCCACGCCAATGACCTTTGACGTACATTTGAAGATATGTTCTCCTTTAACCTATGTGTTTGATATTTTAAGGGGGATGGTCATCTCTTGACTTCTGATACTAATTTTGAGGTTATGCCTGTCTCAACTCCTTCAAAACTTTGGTTTTTGACATGTCCTTGATTTTTGAGGCTATGTTCGTTTTAATCTATAATTTTGTCGTTTGACCTTGAGTATTGATGTTAACTTAATTTTTAATCTATGTTTTTGATATAGACAGTACAATCTCTGAAATTTTCGAGACAAATTCTGAACGGTACGCGAGTTTGAATGCTTCGCAAGATGAATGGTAGGCGAGTAAATTTTCACCTAGCGTTCATTTAAGACAAATTCTGAACGGTACGCGAGTTTGAATGCTTCGTAAGTTGAATGGTTGGACTCATACATATATGAAGCAAAATTCCTGAAGTGATGCAACTTTAAAATTGAAGGTTTTCGGATTGGGCTGAAATTTGCAAACTTTAGTACTATGGGTGTAGTAACTTTAGTACTTCACCTATAAATTATTATTATTATGTTTCATGCAAAACTGTAGAGCGGGGAGGGGGTTCAAGTTCCTAGTCAAATGTGAACAGTGGATTTTTTAAAAAATCGTAACTTCTATACAAATAGATGACAAAAATTTTGACCTATATGTTTTCGAAAGGTTTTTTTATGATCTTTCGAAAGGTGAACAAATTTTTTTAAAGCATTCAAAATTTACCCTTCTTATTGAAAATCAAAAATATTTTTTATTTTTTTTTCAAAAGGACAATTTTTTTTTCTTTTTTTTACACTCAAAATGAAGTGTTAGATATGTCGTAGGCCGATAGACATTTCAGGCCGTTAGCCAAAATCCTGGCTTATATTCTAATGGCCGGCTAGTAGACAATAGCATAGGCCATTAGCCGAATAACTTGCTGGATGGCTACTAGCCTGACAATTTTTAGGCCATTAAAAGAAACAATTTATACAATTCTGCCGTGCGAAATAAAAACTTAGTTAAGTCAAATTTTGTTTGAACGGAGAAAATGACGAAAAACTGTTTGTATTTAAAAATCTAATGTAATATAAATAATTCTTTAATGTAACTTCACTTCCTAGGTAATTTGATAGAGTTCTTTTTAATTCTGAAGTCAAAAGTTAATTATTTAAACAAATTATATTAAATAATGGGCTTACGTTTCATTTTTTAAAAGCAAAGCTTGGTTAACTCGAGTTATGTAGTGCTTTTCGAAAAAGTAGGCGAGCGCTAGCCTTCGTTCAGAAGTAAGAACTTAGTTAACTCAAGCTAAATGCATGGGATTCCGAATTCACCCGACGAAAATCCGAACTTTAACGAAGTTGACTTACGCTTCCTCCCATCGAAATGCAGTGTCCGGCTCATGCCTCTTTTCGAAAGAGAAAAAAAAAGAGTCAAGTTAACTAATTTTTTATTTCGTATCTTATGCTCGATCTCAACGCTTCCTACGATTTTTGGACTACTCAACTCGAGTTAACTGAGTTTTTATCAAGTATTTTTTCATTTTCTGGGTTTTTGTAGATTTTTAATAACTATTTTTTGCAATAAATAATTTAAAAAAATTTTTTAATAACTTAATCAGACGCAGTTTTTTCTTACGAATCCATTGATACCAAAAACTCATTTTTGTCAAAGATATGACTTAACTAAGTTTTTACATCGTACGGCAGAATTGTGGGTTCACTAGGATCACTTCTTCTTAGAATTACGCGCATTTCACTTCCGATTTTAAACAGTTCATACAATTTCGAATAGTGATAATGATGACTTTTTTTGTTTTTTTTCTTCACATTCTATAAGAGATGTAATATCGTTTAACTCGTGCATTTTATTCCACACTGACCTATTACTTGCTGCATTTTTGTCATAAAAGCTGAACAATTTAGCTTCAAATTCGCCACGATTTACAATATTTTCGGTCATATTGTGACTGAATTAAACAAAAGTTATTTGAAAATTAAAACTTATTTTCAAAATTATTCTCTTTGGTAAATGTAAGAACAATACCTACCTCGTTTCCTCATTAGGCAATTACTAATATTTATATTAATTAACGTGTGTTGAATTATAATGTAAACAGAGTTTCTTCTAACGGCCTGAAGAATGTCAGTCTAGTAGCCCATTAGCGCAGTATTCTACTGGCCGGCCATTAGAATAAAAGCCAGGCTTCTGGCTAACGGCCTGAAATGTCTATCGGCCTACGACAGATATATACTTTCAATACCAAAAAAAACAAGAATGACGTTTTTTTTGTTTTCGAGATATTAATTAGTTAATTAATGTTTATAACAAATAAAATATTTTACAAACAAATAAAGTTACCGTAACTCTGAAGTTAGCAATTGAAAGTTAACGTAATTCCGCATTCAACGAGCCCTATATGAAGTATTTTGGATAAGTATATTGTTAATAAACAATTAGTTAACATTGCAATTGTTTATTAACAATCTACGTATCCAAAATACTTCATATATGGCTCGTTGGATGCAGAATTACGTTAATTTTCAATTGGTTGCTTCAGAATTACGGTAACTTTATTTGTTTGTAAAATATTTTATTGGTTATAAACATTAATTAACTAATTAATATCTCGAAAACAAAAAAAACGTCATTCTGTTTTTTTTTGGTATGGACAGTGTATACCTTAAGCTTCATTT